CTAAATCTGCTGAGAGGGGACAGGCTTTCCCTCTTGACTTTTACTCCTGGAACGCCGTTACAGTGCATCCCCCCCGATTCCACCACTGCTTAAAGTGTAATCCAACTTTGAAACTTTTGTGTTCAACCATACAAAAAACTACGGCAAAATCTTAGCGACAAAATCTTTCATTTTAAATACTCAAAAGAACAACTTTTACATCTTTTAATGTACTTTTAAAGACCAGTTTATCAGCAACACTAAATTCTGCCACAAGTCTTTAAAAAAATCTGACATTTACTGAAATGAATGTAAATGGTGAAACGCAAAATATTATTTATAAAATAGAATATTAAATGCTTTTTTTAGGATTCAGTCATGGGATATATTTGCAGATTATATTTTGCACTTTTTTGTACCTAAATTCTACAAGTGTAATAAAGACAAACACATCAAACTTCCTGTATTCAGAAGAAAATACAAATAAAGAATTCTAGATACTTTTTTATGTAAATTTATTTTAGTGTTTTTCCACTGAAAACAGTCCGAGATGAACACATGAAGCTTCAGCAGCAGCACAAGGTTGTAATTTCTTCTTTTTCTGTTCTCAGAAGGAGGCTCGCTAAAATAAACATTCAAATAAAGCATTTTAAAATCTGTTCTTCTAAAATGAAGTTTGTTTTTTCTACTGAAACTCCTCAGACAAACAAGAAGCTGACTGTTCAAAAGGCTGCCTGTTGCTTTAAGACTTTGGGGACTGAGGAGCCAATCAGTGGCCAGCAGAGGGCGCACCTCCTGAATTGACCCATGGCTAAGTCCCACCGTCAAACGCGATGAGCCAATCACAGTGCGTATAGCCATTCCCATACACTGGGACATTCTCTGCCTGGACGTCCATTGAAATGCATTACACAAAGTCAGTTTGTTCGGTTTTATGAGCTTTTTCTGAGATTTGAAGTTTAAAAATGGTCAAACGGTGTGCATGGGGTACATGCAACTCTGACACAAGGTATCCTGAGAGGCTGGGCGACCAGGTGTATTTTTTACACTTTAAACCACATCTCAACCGAGAAAAGTGTCTCCTTTGGATAAAGTTGTGTGGTAACGTTAGACCACAACATCAACTCAACGTGAATAAGATTAACAATGATGTCTACATCTGTTCTAAGGTAAGTCAACATTGTGTTTGAGGCAACATATTGTCACTTTGCTGGAAAGAAATATAAAGTTATCTTTAACATCTCTAGCTAACGTTAGCTAAAGTTAGCCTAACGTTAGCTCCTAGCTGCGTTGTTCATCATGTCACCTTGTTTGCTGGGAGTTCATTAGCCTATTTTGTTCTAGTTTTGTACTTTGGTGATCGTACATCATTGTTAGCTGTTGTCCAAAGGGCTCTAGTTAAGCTAACGTTAACTTCTGGAGCTTAGCTTCATTAACTTATCTGTAATGGCAGAGATAACAAAGGTTGGCAAACGTTATGCTGAATGATTCAGTGTAAATACTGTAGCACCAAACTAACGGAGAGACACTCTTGGTAAAGATGGTAAAAAGGCCGTTATCCTTTTCTCATATTCTGAGCCAAAAACCTTAACTTCAGTGGCACTTTAACTTGTTGTCTTTGATGGTGACGGCAACCAGATGCGGTTCACAAGCGTACACTGTGACCTGTAAATTTTGGCTTGTAATTTAAGCTTTTCATCGACCTTCTCAACAATAAAATGATGAATATATCCCTCCAATGCGTAGTTTAGGCCCTTTTGGTTACTTCTCAATGACATCTGATCGTTATGTCCCCAAAAATCATCAGTTGCCTCCTGTGAAATGCCGTGTACTGTGACACCTGCCATAGCGCCGCTCACTGAATGTTGATAGTTTGTCTGAGTGAGTGGAGGGGGCGTGGCTTAGCCATAGGTCAATTCCGCCTAGTAACACCGTAGGAGCGGACCATAGACTGTCTGTAAAAATACTTACAATGTCCACAGTTTGAGGATTTCTTTAAGATAAATGTAAAACTATGCTCTGCTAAACTGTCAAGAGGAGGGACAAAACTCCGTCAACACAAGTGATCTGACAAAGCATCTGAAGAACCAACACCACAACGAGTTCAAGGAGTTTGCTAATGCTAACGCTAACACTAGCAGCGGGAAACAGCAACAGCCCACTTTGCGTCAGACGGTGGGAAGTGGGAGAAAATGTCCAGAGACAGTAACAGAGGCACTCACCCAGTACTTTGCTCCCGATGACCAGCCATCGTCAGTTCTTAATGATACGGGATGTCGAGGTCTTCTCAGTGTGCTGGAGCCCAGGTATGAGACTCCCAGCCGTCACCATGTCACAGACACCGTGTTACCAAAGTTGCACCACTTTGTGGAAAAAGCACATCAGCAGCCTGTTGCAGGACATTTGGGCCGTCAGCTTCACCACTGATATTTAGACCAGCAGTGTCAGCCCAGTGTCTCTCATCAGCTGAACTGCACAGTGGATCCAAGAGCAGACAGTGGTCCTACATGCAAAACAGTTTCAGGTTCACACACTAGCCAAGCCATCGCAGGTGTGTTTGGGGATGTGCTTCAAACGTGGGGCATCCCCAACACTAATTCACCATAAGTGATTAGGAGGTAAAATACTCACACTCACTATAATAATTTAAGACCAGCTCATGTTCTACCAGCGTAAGATTATTGTTTTCACTGTTTAAGGTATAAAGATTGTTTTGTCTCGCACATCACTGCTGCAGAGGCCGAGGACATGGTGATGATGGAGCTGCAGGAGGTGTCTGGAGGAGAGGCAGACAAGCAGGAGGACCTGGGGGAGCCACCTGCCAGAAAGCTACACAAGGTCCAGAGACAAACCTTGGAGAGCCGACAACTGCGCGGGAAGACAACCCGGTGTAATACTGGGGGGTTAACAAAGTGCGCTTTCCTACTCAGATGTCACACAGATGCCTGTCGTGATGACATCATTTCAGTTGTTCTGCTACAGTTGTATGTTGGTACTGAAATCCACTGAATGAGTTACATTTAATAAGGTGTGTGGCAAAGCCATGATTATTAAGAAAGACATACCGTGCACTGTTAAAATGTCAGTACTGACAATTTATTTCAGTCAGAAGGGAAGTAACATCGTAGTGAAATATGAGGCAGTGGCACACAGCTGAATGTTAGTCAGTAACCACAATTTGTGACAGTCAGAAACTGAACATCTCACGAAAATCAGACATTTTTTCAAAGTAAATTAAGAAGAACCCCAACAGCAATTTAAGGACTCAGATCTGTGCTCAAAATAGAAAAATACTGTTCATAAAATAATCGAAAAATGATCAATAAAATGTCTGAAAAAATTAATAAAATGTCTGAAAAAATATTAGTAAAATATCCGAAAAATTATCAATTAAATGTTCAACATATTATTTATAAAATGTCCTGAAATATTATCAATAATATGTCTGACACATATAAAATGTCCAATTGACCGAAATATTGGTAAAATCTCCAAAAAAATGTTGATAAATAATTCGACAATCATTCATAAAATGTCCAACCAATGATTATAAATTGTCTGAAAATATTTTGATAAAATTTCCCAAATATCATTAATAAAATGTCCAAAGAATTATTTCTATGTCTGAAAAGTTTTTATAAAATGTCGGACATTTTTAATAATATATTTTCGGTTTTGTTACTAATATTTCTTCCCACATTTTATTAATATTTGTCGGACATTTTAACAATATATTTTTGAATATTTAATTGTTATTTGTCATACATTTTATTAATATAATTTCGGACATTTTATTTATATTTTTTCCGACATTTTATTAATATTTGTCGGACATTTTTAAAATATATTTTCGGATATTTTACTTATATTTTTTCCTGCATTTTAATCAATATTTGTCAGACATTTTAATAATATATTTTTGGACATTTTATTTATATTTTTTCCAACATTTTATCAATATTTGTCCAACATTTAACATGATTTTGGACATTCTATTTATATTTTTTCTGAAATTTTATTAATATTTGTCGGACATTTTTAATAATATATTTTCAATTATGTTACTAATACTTCTTCCCACGTTTTATTAATATTTGTCGGACATTTTAACAATATATTTTCGGATATTTAATTGTTATTTGTCGTACATTTAATTAATATAATTTCGGACATTTTATTTATATTTTTTCCGACATTTTATTAATATTTGCCAAACATTTTTAATAATATATTTTCGGATATTTTACTTATATTTTTTCCCACATTTTATTGTTATTTGTCAGACATTTTAATAATATATTTTTGGACATTTTATTTATATTTTTTCCAACATTTTATCAATATTTGTCCAACATTTAGCATAATTTTGGACATTCTATTTATATTTTTCCCGAAATTTTATTAATATTTCTCGGACATTTTTAATAATATATTTTCAATTATGTTACTAATATTTCTTCCCACATTTTATTAATATTTGTCGGACATTTTAACAATATATTTTCGGATATTTAATTGTTATTTGTCGTACATTTTATTAATATCATTTCAGACATTTTCTTTATATTTTTTACGAAATTTTATTAATATTTGTCGGATATTTTTAATAATGTATTTTCGGACATTTTATTTATATTTTTTACGACATTTTATGAACATAATTTTGGACATTTTAATAATATTTAAGTTTTGAAACTGCTGTGATTTCTTCTGCTGTAATTTCTGCTGTCAAGGCCGTGTTTTGTCTTTCTACTCTCACAGAAGGCTCGCTCAATTGACTTAATGAAATTCAGATGTTCTCAGTAAATACTGAAATTTAAGGTGAACTTAAAGTTTTATGTTTTTTCAGGATCTTTGTAATATTTGTATTTTACTCTACAAATGTAATAGAAACAAAAACAGTGACACTTTGTGTATTATGAACAAAATTCAAATAAAAAATTTTAAAAACCTTTCTTCTGAAATTAAATCTAACTATTTTTTTTCTCCTGAAACTCGTCAGACAAACACGAGGCTGACAATTTTTTTTTTTTTTACTCAATATTTTTATAAAATAAACACATGAACAAACAACTGATGGAATGCTGATTGAAACCAAGGAAACTGAATTAGAAATAAAAGCGTGAACTCAAACTGAACTTCAGAAGGCAGAGCTGAAACGTTTGTTAACTCTATGAACAGGAATAAAAAGGTTGAAGCCAATAAGAAAAAACTGCCTCTTCTCCTTTAACCACACCAGCTTTAACTCCACCCTGCCGTCTGTGCGGTAGAGCACCATCACAAAGTGCTCGCCGTCATAGTCAAACGACAGCCGCCTCTCTGCCGGCGTGATGACGATGGGCGAGCTGAGGCACCAGAAGGGTTTCTGGAACTCGTCCAGCAGAGTCAACGTCATGATGCAGCATTTCTACATGGCGTAAGAAAGAACCATCAGAGCTCACGTAAAAAGGTGCGAGGTGCGATTGTTCATATCGCGATAAACAACACGTGTCTTGATATTCTAAAGTGTCATCGATCTTCTCGTCTGACTCGGCAGGAAAGTAAACAGGCCAAAAAACTGTTCTTTAAGTTTCTGTGTAAATATCTGTAGTTTTGATGGTCAGCTGGTTCATGTAGATGTTTCACCTCGCTCAGGGCTGAGCAGACGATGGGTCGTGGCAGTAAATCAGATTATTTTTTAAATAAAGGGCAGTGATTCAAACACACTGCCTGGTCTGGTTATGTGTGTTCTTCCTCATGTCTGTACAGTGTTGAGCAGATGTACCTCCACTGAGCCCTCCACTGCGCCGCTCACCCAGGGCAGTGTGATGTTCCCAGACAGCGGCCTGTGATGGAACAAGTCGGTGGTGTTGATGACCCTCATCTCCAACAGTCCACGCTGGATACGACCTGCTCGCAGCAACACAACACACTTTTAGTCTTAACAACTTAATCAGGACAGTCATCACAGTACCTGTTAATCAGACTGCATTTTGTAATCACATTACCCGTGTTAAAGGACAGATTGCCGAAGTTTTCTGACATGATCTCAGCGCCGGGTTTGTGCAGGAGGGCGTGCAGACTGTAGCCGTGCAGACCAAACTCAGGGTCGGAGTTATCCACATGTGGAGGGTCGTCAGGCTCAGAGAACGGGCTGCAGGAAGGTCAGGATAAAGACATGGAGCACAAATAAAAGATGGGATTAAAGCTAAGTTTAAGAAAATGTGACTGAACTTATTAAATCTAAATGTAATTATTTGCCTTGATGTGACCTTTTAACAACAGCTGGAGTTATTACTGTCACACACTCAACACATCTCTGCACACACAAGTTTTCAAACTTTGCGTTTTATTTTGATCATTCTGTTTTTATAAAATTGTTTGTGACATCTCAAAAGTGTCTTTGACTTGTAACTGAACATGTAGAAAGTACACAGATACAGAGAGTATTTTCAGGGTGAACGGACTCTGATACACAGATATGAATTTCTGTCCATATCACCCAGCCCTATTATATATCCTTCTAGCATGTATGAATGAGAATTCAAGGACCTGCTGTAAAAGAGTTTAATGCTGAGTCAGTTTTCCCTGAATAGTGATGAACTCACAGCTCAGGGTGTCAGGTGAACAAAACACCATTTTTTAATTCACAATGAAAATAAATTGATTTACACTGGGAATTTTGTGTACTTTGTGTGTAGATGAGGAGCTAGAGTGCATAAAAAAGCATCGATGTGTGTTTATGAACTGGCCCCCAGCCTCCTGTCACTTTGTAAAAGTGGCCCCCAGGAAAACAAACTGAGTATCCCTGCATTGACTTACACACTGATTATTTCCATTATTGCTATTTTTATAGAAATAACCAAACATTTGAAAATGTTGCTCACATGTGATCAGCTGGTTAATGAAGCTGCAGTGGTGACTCGTGACCAGCAGAGGGAGCGCTCAACTTGCTGGATAAAATTCAGCAGTTTGAGTTCACATCTGGATACACATCTGTCAGTTTAAGCAGCAGCAGCAGAGAGTTAATGACAGCTGAACGTACCAGACTGGAGATCCCAGCAGACTCCTCTCCACCAGCCTGTGGAGGTGCAGGCTGACCATGATGAAGGCCACGCTGCCGTCAACCTACACACACACACACACACACACACACACACACACACTTACATTTATCTCTGTTTGTGTTCACATTAAAGAAACATGGCAAACTGGAGGTTTGTTCAGGGTAAAAAACAAACACAACACTTTCTTTTACACACAACTATCCTGTGATGCTGAGGCCGTCTGCACAAAGCACCTTAACTTTGCTCCTTAACGATTAGTTTTTCCTTAGCTGAGGAAATTACTTAAGGGTGTTGCACAGAATCTATTAAAAGACTTCCTTAGTCAAGGTCAGACATTAAAGCCCTGTTTCTGTCGAGCAGTTCAGTTCAGTGTTTCTGTTTCCACAGTGAAAATATTTATTTTGACAGCCCTAGTCTATTTGTCCTTACTTTGTTTCCTAAGGTCCTCTGTGCATCGCTTCAATAAACTGAGCAATTCCCAAAGTATAAGACCAAGATAAGGACAGAAACTTTAGGCCACCTTGAAGGGATAGTGCACCCAAAACTGAAAATTCTGCCATTATCTACTCACCCATATGTCGAGGGAGGCTCAGGTGAAGTTTTAGAGTCCTCACATCACTTGCAGAGATCCAAGGGGAGAGGAGGTAGCAACACAACTCCACCTAATGGAGGCTGACGGCGCCCCAGATTCAAACGTCCAAAAACACATCATTGAAACCACAAAATATCTCCATACTGCTCGTCCGTAGTGATCCAAGTGTCCTGAAGCCCCGACATAAAAAGTTGTTTGGAAAAACCTCATTTGAACTCTGTTTTTAGCCTCATTGTAGCCTGTAGCTCTGACTGCCTCTCTGGGCACCGCACTCATGTATGTGTGTGCTTGCACGAGACCGTGAGACATGGGCACTGCCTTCATGTATGTTCACATGCTTTTGCTGGTCTCATGCAGAAGCACACACACACGTGAGTGCGGTGCCCAGAGAGGGCACAACAACTTTTTATGTCGGGGCTTCAGGACACTTGGATCACTACGGACGAGCAGTATGGAGATATTTTGTGGTTTCAATGATGTGTTTTTGGACGTTTGAATCTGGGGCGCCGTCAGCCTCCATTAGGTGGAGTTGTGTTGCTACCTCCTCTCCCCTTGGATCTCTGCAAGTGATGTGAGGACTCTAAAACTTCACCTGAGCCTCCCTCGGCATATGGGTGAGTAGATAATGGCTGAATTTACATTTTTGGCTGCACTATCCCTTTAAGGAGAAGACTTAAGGATGTTTTATGCGACTGAAACCTTAACTGGGTTTTAAGGAAAACCTTAAAGTGCTTTATACACCCGGCCTCTGGTCTTCTTCTGCACATTAACACATCAGTATGTTTGCACAATCCTCAGTCTCACCACCTCTTCAACTATTTATTTTAACGTGCATGTGACTAATGTTAGGTTCAGAACACAGATATGTCAGGCTGACTTTTTATGAGTGTGAATAAAATGCTGAATATTTCCATTTGTGTTGCAGCCATTAAAACATGTGCTCAACACTCACCCTCCAGACGCCTACGATGAAGCCTGGCTGGTGATGCATCACTTTGACTGCTTTGTCTCTGTCAATGAACCGAGGGGGCCGAGTCCTCATGTCGAGCTTTAAGATCAGAGAGCGCCAGCCGGGCCTGATGGAGAGGAAGAGGAGGGAGTGGTGAAGGAAGGGATGAGGCCTTGTACAAGAGGAAGGAAGTGTATCTCACCTGGTCTTTAGCGTCTCCTTCCTGACTCCGTACAGCTTCATGTCTCTGATGTGATGGTATTTAGGGAACCTTCCTTCACTCCAGCGGACGATCACAGAGGACTGGAAGAACAACGCTTTGCTCTGCTTCATCGTGACCTCCTGCCCCCGCCGATCACACACCGTCAGTTCCCAGCTCACATGCAGTTCCCTGGAAAAAAAACACAACATGTGAGTGAGGTGTAGTGTTTCCCAAGTTCTCGTGTGTTTTAGGGAGCTACTTGGATTTACAGCCCTGAGAAGCCAAATGTAGATGTGACAGTCTGTTCCTTTATCATGAGCACTCGTCTCAAGCAGGTGAGAGTGGCCTTAGAAAAAGAAGAGCTGTGGTAACACAATCTGACTAAAGTTACTGAGGTCTGTGAATTAACCTGTGACCTTTGAGATTTGGCTGCTGGACAAACTTTTAAACACACACAAAAACAACAAACAAATACACTGTTCTTTTCCCAACATCCACACTGGCTTAACGTGGGCTTCAAAAATTATTATTTTTTAATTATCATCATCAATCTACCTTATTTTAATTAATCGTTTGGTCAATAATGTCAGAAAGTAGCTGCTGATGTCTTCACAAACCGTTTACAAAAGATATAAAACATTTAGATCCCACACCACTGACATTTTACTGTTTCACTGTTTCATCTCATATGATATGAAGCAGCCTACTTTATTAATGGATCTGATGATGTCACTCATAATTAACAGCCTGCCTCTTTCACATCAACACGCTGGTGGCTGGACATGAAAACCCAGAGTTGACTCAACTAGTTGACAACCAGCTTTGTAGTATCTGTTATCAGACGGCCAATGTGACGGGTTAGTCAGGCCAGATAATGAGAAAATATCCCGGGTAAGTTGAAGTGGCTTCATAGTACAGGCCTCAGCTCTGATCAGATCTACTGATCAATTGACCTATGGCTAAGCCACGCCCCCTCCACTCACTCGGACAAGCTATCAACATTCAGTGAGCGGCGCTATGGCAGGTGTCACAGTACACGACATTTCACAGGAGGCAACTGATGATTTTTGGAGACTTGTGAACCGCATCTGGTTGCCGTCACCATCAAAGACAACAAGTTAAAGTGCCACTGAAGTTAAGGTTTTTGGCTCAGAATATGAGAAAAGGATAACGGCCTTTTTACCATCTTTACCAAGAGTGTCTCTCCGTTAGTTTGGTGCTACAGTATTTACACTGAATCATTCAGCATAACGTTTGCCAACCTTTGTTATCTCTGCCATTACAGATAAGTTAATGAAGCTAAGCTCCAGAAGTTAACGTTAGCTTAACTAGAGCCCTTTGGACAACAGCTAACAATGATGTACTATCACCAAAGTACAAAACTAGAACAAAATAGGCTAATGAACTCCCAGCAAACAAGGTGACATGATGAACAACGCAGCTAGGAGCTAACGTTAGGCTAACTTTAGCTAACGTTAGCTAGAGATGTTAAAGATAACTTTATATTTCTTTCCAGCAAAGTGACAATATGTTGCCTCAAACACAATGTTGACTTACCTTAGAACAGATGTAGACATCATTGTTAATCTTATTCACGTTGAGTTGATGTTGTGGTCTAACGTTACCACACAACTTTATCCAAAGGAGACACTTTTCTCGGTTGAGATGTGGTTTAAAGTGTAAAAAATACACCTGGTCGCCCAGCCTCTCAGGATACCTTGTGTCAGAGTTGCATGTACCCCATGCACACCGTTTGACCATTTTTAAACTTCAAATCTCAGAAAAAGCTCATAAAACCGAACAAACTGACTTTGTGTAATGCATTTCAATGGAAGTCCAGGCAGAGAATGTCCCAGTGTATGGGAATGGCTATACGCACTGTGATTGTCTCATCACGTTTGAGGGCGGGGCTTAGCCATGGGTCAATTATCCGCCCCACGACTCAAACCCCACAAACTGCTGCTGAGGGAAGAAGAACTCATGAAGAGTTCTGCCTGTGCTGCGTTCACTGACCTACAAAACCTCTGAATTTAGAGAGGGAACACAGAGTGATAACAACAACAACAAAATGATAAGTTTGCTGACAGCCTGAACACACTACACAGAGGAACATTTCAGGGTCAGGAAAAACAGAAACACAAAAATAGGGCCCTAAATGTGATTATGATGGATAATCTATCTACATACAGTTTCTAGTCTCTGTGATGTTTTTCACAGAAATTAACTCAAACAAATAAAAATCTGCAAAAAGGAAATAAATCAAAAAGTAAACAAAACCTTAAAAAGGAAAAACTGATCAACCGGACGACCTCATGTACCTGAGGAACCCGTCTGTCCTCCACGGTAACCCAGTGAAGGGCCGAACATTTATCATCTCTCTCCTCCACATGTTCATTTCCGTCGCATTCACAGTCCTGAAGTATTTCTCCTTCCAGTGGCCCGTCGAGCAACCCTCCACCTCCGCTGGGTCCACCCTCGGTGCTGCTGGCTTCAGATTCCACATTCGACACCCAAACTCTGACATGTAAATCCCACGCCATATGACACTGCGATGACAGAAGGTAGAAACAAAGTCAAGTGCTACTTACAGCGTACTAGAAACATACGAGCACTGTGCGGAGCAGTTATGACTTCAAATACTGAACTACTGAATGTTGGGCTGTGTTGACTCTGTCAGACTTACTCATCCTTGGAGAGCTCAGAGAACAGCTTGCTGACGTGGCTGATGTAAGACAGCGAGGTGGCATCCAGGTACGAGAAAATCTTCACCAGGATCTCATGCGGCAGCCTGTGAAGGAAGTAACCAGGTGTTACTGCGAAGAACTGATGCCACTGTTTTTATTCCACCTGCAGCTGAGTGCTGAAGAGAGTGTGCCTGCAGCTCCACTAAATGTGAGCTCAAAGATGCTGAAGGCAAAGTGGAGAGTGTCAAGATGCAGTGGCCAGGATGTACAGGTAGCCACACCTGTAGCCACCATGTTTCAGATGATTACTACAAGTTGGGGTGGGGGAAAACATCCATGCAGCATAGCATCACGATATTTTGCGAGGCCATATTGGATCGATCCTTTATTGTATACATCATTTATTTTTCCTAATACACATAATACAACTTTTGATCCTAGAATAATAAAATCAGTTGCTTTATTAGTCCTGGTGAGGTCAGCAGAGGTCTCAGTCAGCGGCATTTGGCAGGATGTTCATCAAAACAAAGATGGAGACAGAAATCAGAAATGTGCCATCAGCGTTTAAATCAAACATCTGGACTCATTTTGGATTTTGTAACACAGAAGGAAAGGAGGACCTAGGTATGACACGTGTGATTTACAGCTGTGTCATATAAGAATAAAATACTCTGGGAATACTAAAACATGAGGGCTCACCTCACGCCACCATCCAGAGATAGCATTAGCTGCTGACGGCCAAGCTAACGCTAAAAATCAACCAACACTGGACACTCTGAGCTCGATGAAACTACCATCAACTGTGAGAAAGAAAGAAAATAACACAGTCCATCACCTACTTCATGTGCGAAGATCTGCGTCCATACAGCTGATGAAACCAAGGCTTTTGTTACATGCTAAAAACACGTGAACCCAGGTATGTGACTCCGCCCCCATGTTTTTTCACCATCACAGCTGTTGTGCCAGGTGAACTGGTGGCTGGATTAACTGGTGACAGAGACAGATGTGTGGTAGGCGTGGCCTTTGAGAACCTGTTGTCAGCTAAACAGGAAATGAACATTTTGATTGCGTCACACCTCTTTTACCTTCATTTAGCGCTGTCATTTGAAACATGATGATAAGAATGGTTTGCTGGACATTCATTTTATTAATGGTTCAAGTGATCCACTGAAGCCCTCCAAAGTAACGTTGAGCCACGGCGATATCAAGCCAAGACGAGAGCCAGGAGAGCATCCTGTGTGACATTCAGTAAAGGTTTCACAATGATAAAAACCTAATGGATTCAAAATGTGAGCGAGTTGAGATATATATGATATATATGTTGTAGTCATGCGATATAAGTCCATACAATTGTGACGTTACAAACAAGGACCACTTGGCTTTTGGCTTGGTTTTTCCCCACAGCAATTAGACTCCTCAATCAGACCAAGTGGACATGGAACTGTTCCTACTGGCACATCATTCATATTAATTATCCATTTTAGTCCCACAGCTTATTCATTATTGATCTTATTTATTCAATTTGTTGCAACAACGCCAGCAAAAGGCCACGCCAAAGGCCACGCCTACCACACATCTGTCTGTGTCACCAGTTAATCTGCAAGCTCTACAGAGAAGTGAAGCATAAAGGTTCATTCTCACTGCCGCGATGCAGAAATGCGGGATGGATTTGCGGAATATTTGCACAGCGCTTTTCCTCGTTTAAACCGGACACACACAGTCACGGTACAGACGCAGTGTGTAATTTCGCGTTGTTGTGTTCCAAGTCAGTCACACAGTGTGGGTGAACATGGACAAGAGTAGCAGCAGCAGCAGCAGCGACGATGACATTATTGTCATTTACATTAACTTAGCTAGCACTAGCTAGCAAGCTAAGGTTTAACAAGCGTCAACATCAACTTTCTTTAGCACTTACCACTCTCACCGCAGCCACCAAGCTGGACAATGGACTGCCAGACGTTATCCTTTAATTCATTGTTCATAAAATCACCCCGTCTTTTATCAAAAATGACGGGGTGCTGTGAAACGAGGTTTATCAACCTGTCTCTCATACTGTCCTGCCTGACCGGATTTTGGACTCTCCCGGGTCTGTGCGTCGTCACTATTAACAAACAATTTCATTGGCCCAGCTGTGTAGTTCCGCCGGCGAATTCCACAGGGGTCAAAGTCTGGGCGGAAATCAGCTTTTATATTTTCCGGGAGAATAATCCACGCGGATATTCACCCTCAGTAAGAATGGACTTTAAAGCTGAGGAATCTTTGAGTACAGCAGGAAGGGTGGCGTTAACCTGTGACTTCAAGGTCAGTGATTCATATGTGACCCTAACATCATCTGACAGAGGACTGGAGGCTGAGATCATTATTTAGAGTATATTAGCAAGAACTTACATTTATTTATTTAACCTTCATTTAACCAGGAAGGGTCCCACTGAGTTACAGTAACTCTTCTTCCAGGGAGTCCCGGCCAAGACTGGCGGCAAAAGTTACAAGTACACAAAAGACAAGACAATGGACACATACTAAAACCACGAGAACACAAAGTCAATGAGAACACATTACACTCAGTAAGACACATAACAAGGTAAAACAGACATACTATTGAAAGGCACCAGGTTAGAAGCAGTGACACTGTTCAGTAATGCTAGAGCTTTTTAAATATGTTGAAAGGTGGAAGTGACTCCAGATTTGAGGTGTTTTGGAGTTCACTCCAGGCGTATGGTGCATATGAAGAGAAAGTTGTTTTACAAAGTTCTGTTCTTGTTGAAGGAGTGGTTAATAGTATTTTTTCTGACGAGCGTGTGCTGTAAACACTAGTATGATATGTGAGCAGATTTAAAATGTGAAAATGACTCTCGCAGCTCAACAGAAAACTCCATGCATGTGAGTGTTGGACAGTTATGTATCTTAACAGCCTGTCACAGGTTACAGCGTGATGACAGAGGAGAATAGTTTGGCACCAACCACCATGCCACGTTCAAAGTCACTTTAATCACCTTTCTTCATCATGACTACATGCACTGAGCTGCTGCCACGTGATTGTCAACTAGCTATCTGCGCTAAGGAGCCGTTGAACAGGTGTACCTAATAATGTGGACGGTGAGTGTAGTTGCAGATCAATTGGCCAACCAGGCGACACAATCAATCAATGAATTAATTACCAATAAACATAAAATTAAACAATTTAAATTAAATGTATTAATTGTTTTTAGTCAATTAAATGTTATAAATAAGAAATATAAAATATAATCTGCAGTGTCCTTTAACTTTGTCTCTGTAAGGAACAATAAAGTTATAATTTGACACCGTTAATGGCGGCAGAGACGAGCTAACATTAGCTTACCTTTCTATGAAGTTGTTCCTGGATGGAGACGTTTTAATGTGGGGAAAATGTGATTTATTTCCCTCTGCTCTCGGGTCCGGGCGGCTGAGACACAAAATAAAAACATATAATATTAACATTTAATCTCCTCGACGTGAATCTTCGGTGTTGTCCCTGGTGCTATCCGCCATGTTACCTGAGGCTGTTCCCGCTAACCGAGCTCGGTGCTGCCTCCCGTTGTCTCCTCCTCTGTCCTGTACCCGGACCCGACCGTCCTCCGGCCGTACCCGGCTTTCCTCTACCACGACCCTGCTGTTGTCCAACCGGAGCCGGCTGGACGGATTTCCTCTCTAAACCCTCAATTAAACTCCGAAAAAACTCCCCTCGTCCCGCCGCCATCTTGGCTCTTCTCGAAGCTGCCGTCGCCAATCACGCAGCCGAAATGACTTCCGGTCACCTTGACTTTATTTGGTCAATAGCGCAGCCACACCGCTAGAGGGCAGTGTAGTTATGATTCTGGATTTATTGATTAATGAAGGCGCCAGTGAATGAGGGATTTTTCTGTCCTTTATGGTTTGCAGAGTGGTTAATTGATCTCTGATAGATATTTGCCATAATGTAAAACTATCCCATTCTGTGTACTAGAGAAAGCTTACATACAGTAACTCTCTGTATACAGTGTATAAGACAGCCACATTACCCATGATGCAGTGGAAACTGCAGCTTTTTACTGTCACAACAGATTACAGTATCTTACTGTGTGGTGGTAAATAACTGTAGAAATTACACAAATGCTCTGATGAAGGTTTAATAGACCGAAAGCTCAGCAATAAAGTGAAGTGCAGCAGAGATGTGTGTGGAAATCTTTCTCTACCAAATTTTAAGCATTAAAAATATATAAAAAATGAAAAATAACATTTGGTGGGGAATATTATAAATAAGGCTATACAATGAAAATGAAAAAATGTATAACATGTTTGATTTCTGTAATTTATATTTGTTACTGAAGTTGAGCAAACATGATTGGGGCATGGCAGTTTTACCTACTTGTGCTAAATTTGAGGAATTATTTTAAGTAGTCCATACCCATTGAGTACAGCATACCATACCATGACTTAGTCATACCAAACATTAGAAAACAACACCAACATTGGTCCACAGGGGGAGCCACAGCGATCGGTCGCATTTTAGCCATTTTGAAGCATTTTTCTGTTGTTATAGCGCCACCCAGTTGCCAATTAGAGTTAAATTTCTCCAGTCACCTTGAGGCGTCCTGTTCTACATATCTACCAAGTTTAGTAAAAATCCATATGGCGGTTAGGCCTAGATAAGAAATGAGCTCTCTAGCGCCCCCATTTTGTTTGATGGGGTCAATAATGGAGGGGTCCCCTCAGATTATGTGTGGTCATATGCCTACAAAGTTGCGTGGTGATGGGTGAAACCCTTGAGATGTTATACACCTTTATGTGATGAGCCACGCCCTCCGCAATATTCATTGCCTTATAGAAGCTCAGTTTTAGTAAGTTTTCCAACTTTTGCCAAGAGGGAACTTTAGATATTGGTCCCTAGATTATGTTCACCCAGTTTCATGCAGATCGCTCAAACTTCCTAGGAAGAGATCCATTTGAAGTGTTTTTCAAAAAATTCAAAATGGCGGAAAATCTATACAAGCGGAAGTTATGGGTTCTTGAGGCAAATGTGTTCCTCATGAGGAGAGGCATCTCTGTGCAAAGTTTCATGTCTCTACCACATACAGGGCATGAGATATGCCCATTCAAAGTTTGACATTTCAATGGGTTGCTATAGCGCCCCCCTTTGGCCAATTGATGTAATATTGCTTCATTGGCATCCTCCCATGACCCTCTACCACTGTGCCAAATTTCACATGGATTGACCAAGTTAGTGAGGAGAAAAACATGGAACACACACACACACAGAGTTTTTGTCATTATATAGTAAGATAAATAAGGAAAAATAACATTGCGGGAGGAACATTGTCAATAAGGCGAGACAATTAGAGGAATTATTTTAAATCTGACTAATCCTGCACACGTCATTCTATTCTATGGTAGAAGTGGGTTAACTATGTTCGACAAGCTTTTAGAAAGAAGTGAGAGCCCATTTTACACACACTATACCACATTATGTCATGGAGACTCAAACCCACCTCATTTTTAATGTGCAGTTGAACTCTTTCAACAGCAGGCTGTTCGTTACTTCACGTCCCCCTTCACACCAAACTTCACGTTTCAGCTGTTTCACCTGGAAAACATTAAAATAAACATTTACAAAGAAGGAGTGGTGATGTCCTGTGCTTCATTCTTAATTCTTCTTCTTCTGTGGTGTTCACGACAACAAGTTTACAGTTGGTAAACAATGGAGGAGAAACTGGTGGTAGTGGTTGCTGGATACCCAGAGCTATACGGCCTGATGATAGACAGCAGGTTGTCAAACTGCCCCTGAGTCGTCCTAAAATCTGCCTGTAAACGTCCATGATGGAGGAGAAGCTCCTGGACCAACTGGTGGTACTCCCCATGATCCAGCCTCTTTTTTAGGGTCTCATGTACCCACACAGATCTCTGTTTATCTGCTGACAGCCTCTCACTCTCAACCAGAGCTACATACAGTACCCTCTGCCTCAACATGGCAGCAGCTACACACTGATTACTGCAGGATACATAAACTGTAGATTGATTACACAGGGAGGTTAGGGTACAGAGATGAGTCTGTGGTTGCCTGGCAACAATAAAAAGGTGCAACAAGTGTTTTGTTTTTTCACTGGTGTCATTTAATTAAAAGAATGCAGTGTGGCGTGACTCACGGTTCGCAACCTGCAAAGTGCTGTCTGTGTGACCAGGGCCTTAGTTGGTTCTGCTGGTGTGTGTGTTACACAAGTCCCTCTGTAATTCAACTAAAAGCTGTGAAACCTGAGACCACGCACACACACACACACACACACACACACACACACACACACACACACACACACACACACGCTGACTGAAACTTTACTGTCAACACGACACTGCCTGGAAGCGACAGTGAGAGCGCTCTCCTGTGTCTCTGATGTAAATGTGTTGTTGGTCTCCAAGCAGCCAAATAAACAATCACACACAGTGTAGGTGATGATGTCCTCTTATGGAGAACAGTGGACGAGGCAGAGATGAAGAACATCGCTCTGCTCTGCTTCACCTTCAGCATCATCCTCTGTTTTCTGGGACTCTGTGGTTTAACTCTCTCCTGGTGAGTATCTTTGGTTTCATCATTACTCCAATCAATCAGTCGATCAGATTTTATTTATAAAGCTCATTTCATACAAAGTAAGCTCAATAATAAATGTGCTGTGAAAACTGACAACATGGAAACAGATTCCGTCCCCTAATCAGAGGGGGGGGAGCAGGGCTGCAGTCTCAGCCCCACTGTTTAACTAGAACAGTCAGATATCTCTGGTCTCAGCCTTTCTGACGCAGAAATTAAATGCTTACTGTTTGCAGATGATCTAATATTGTTCGCTCCATCTGAAGAAGCATTATAACAGCAACTGGATCATCTGCAAAACTTCTGTCACACCCGAGTCCTGATGGTTAATCTGGAAAACTAGAATTATGGTCTTCCAGAAATGCCCCAGTGTCAGGGGAACCCAATCAGGTTCCTACTGGGCTCTGCTGACATAGAACACACACACAGCTGCACATATTTAGGACTCAAAAAACCTCAACAACAAGTTTCAATCTGTCTAAAAAAGTCTTCAAACATAGATGCACCTGTTAGAATCTGGCTCCAACACACCCAGCTGATGTCCTACACACACACACACACACACATCTGTGAGAATATACTCAGAGTCCACAGGAACACCCCAAACAATGGATGCCGAGCTGAACTTGGCCAATTCTCCCTTTTAATTAGGATTCAACAAAGAGCAATCAAATTCTACAAACACCTAAAAACAAGCCAAAATAAATAATAGCTAAAGAAGAAGAAAACTACATCAACTATTGGACATCTACCACAAAAACCCAAAACTAACTTCAATGCTATTTGGCTTTTAACAGACAGTACACATTCACCTCATACGTTTTTCTCTCCTTTAAAGGGATAGTGCACCCAAAAATGAAAATTCAGCCATTATCTACTCACCCATATGCCGAGGATCACTACGGACGAGCAGTATGGAGATATTTTGTGGTTTCAATGATGTGTTTTTGGACGTTTGAATCTGGGGCGCCGTCAGCCTCCATTAGGTGGAGTTGTGTTGCTACCTCCTCTCCCCTTGGATCTCTGCAAGTGATGTGAGGACTCTAAAACTTCACCTGAGCCTCCCTCTGCATATGGGTGAGTAGATAATGGCTGAATTTACATTTTTGGTTGCACTATCCCTTTAAGATTTAAAATAATAATAATAATAACTTAAAGGACACAGAGAAAGGTCCATAGCATACCACATAAAAAACAGACAATCATCCATGTACAAAACTATGACATAATAAATCCAATATATGAAAAAAATATTTTAAAAAAGACAGGAAATACCATCACAATATTATGCAAGTTCATAAAAATGGACAAAATTCATTAAACTGCATCCACACACGCTGGAGAGCCAGTGGCTCCACAGTCTGGATGAAAACCTGACTGAGATATAGTCATATATAAGATTATGTAATAAAGCAGAACATAGGCACGTCATCAACACTTACAAACATCTGGCTGGCACTGCACCATCATGGAAGTTTAAGAAGCAGTCTCATTCCATCATCACAGGCCACATTAAGTCTCTGCATGTTGCTCTTCCCACAGGAGCGCCACAAGTGGGCAGTATACAGCAGAGTGCAAAAATACAAAGAGCTCCCTTCACACTAACTGAACATAAACTGAATTTGCAAGCAGCATATTAGAGCTTGTGCATACAACTTGTGACACTGCCTGTCTTTGTCATCAGATAAATCATTGACACTATGATGGCTGAGATATTTAATCTCATTACACACTTTAAGAGCAACACCAGATAAACATAATTCAGGAAATACTAGTTTATTGTCTTTAAATGTTTATGCATTTGTAATAATACATTTTTTTCTTTAAAAATTTTCACTGTCTTGAATTGTAAAGCTTATTAAATTGAATTGGGGTGGAGACAAATAGACAGAGAGAGAACAGGTAGGTCTAAGCTTGACTTTAAAGGATGATGCAGTAACGGAGACTGTTCCACAGAGTGGGGCTGTAATGACTGAATGCACCTTTGACAAATTTATTCAGGATCATGGGTACTTTTATGAAAACAGACTGTGATTAAAATAACACGCAAAGTTTGAGAATAAACAGCTGCACAACATGTGAATGAAAAATGACATCAATAAACAACAGGAGTGTACGTTAACTTTGTGCACACAGCAGTGGAGCTGCAGAGGTTTAAAGGTTTGCAGCTCAGGACACTGAACTATAACATGACTATAAATGTCGTTTTGCATCTGTCAGTCTTTCGAATGAATCTACTGCTGGAAAATGATTTAAATCTTTTTATCTATTCAGGCTATTAATATTGTTTCCCCCCAGAATAGGCCTCATATATCTGTACATCTCTATATCTATCGCTGTCTACATGTTCTGAGGGTGACAATGACAGGGATGGAGAGGTAGTAAGAGCATTTTTGGCCCACCTGGTCTTCCATACATGGGGCGCTCACTGTACATACAGCAGGTAAAAGAGTGGGGTATGTGGGGTATTTTCCTGCAGATCAGGACATGGAAGTCTGTCTTCATCTTTCACAGTGTCAGACAGTAAGACTGAGTAGATGGCAGGAGAAACTGAAGGCCAAGTTTGATTCCCTTATTGTTCAGATGTAGGTGATCACAGGTCAGACTGTTTCCACAACGAGTCAAAGTGGTTCATAAAGCCATAACGACTGGTCAGCACTGTGAAGATGGAAGGGGGGATGCAAGGGATCTGGGAAAGAGAGTTCCCCCTTGACCCAGGGGGAGGAGGGGACCGCCGACGACTTGGAGGGAGGAGGGAGTCAGAGGTCATCAGCTAACTCCACATCAGGTAGTCAGGACACGATCTGAGACTAAAAGTTTGTGAAAGAGCTTCTCCAAGGACAAAAGTTAAGATTTAAAGAAGGACAGTTGAGCAGGAGCCATGCTAGCACCGACAGCTAGCAAGTGTTAGCAGTCCGGTCTCTCAAGTGAAGAACCCACGAGTGGACGGGCTGAGTAAGTTACTGTCCGTACACCCAGCAGAGAGCTCAGCTTCTGCACCCACTCAGATGAGAATGTCAGAGTAAAATAAATAAGCAGAATTCATTAGAAACCTGAGTAGAGACGCGGCTAGCCTAGCCACCAGGCTAAAAACAAAGCTAGGCTAAGCTAGCTAAGCTACTAAGCTAGCAGCGGGAGGCAGTCCGGTATCAGCTGACAGGTGAATAAAATATTACCTTGTTAAAACAGGTGCAGGACAGGCAGGGTCTAAAAGTGTGGCGTTAAATTCTGGATTAAAAACTGGATAAAATAGAAAAAAAAAACAGTAGAGCTGCAGACGGACACACACAACGCCAGCGCATGCGCAGAAGAGAAATCGGTATATTACTCAGTGTGACGCGTCGGTGTTGTTGCCATGGTTTCCTGCCGTTTGATAACTGCTGTCAGTAAAGATGTGTTCACTGGCCTGCTGGTTCAGAGCTCTGATCTTCGGCAGTAAGTAGACCTTGAGTTAAGATTGAATTTGTTAGTTTTAGTCAAACCGCTTTTTCCAAGGTCAAGAATTAACTCTTTAAATGCTCTCAGTACTAGTGAATGACTTCATTAGGTCTCTGGACAAAACCTTTTGATTTGCTGCTCGATTGTAACTCAAGGCCCTGATCACACAGGATGTGTTCTGCAGGCTGCAAAAGTTAGTTAAAAAGTTAGTTTATTGTTACCAGGCAACCACACCATCACGTCCTTACCCTTCCCTTGTTATTACTCTACTGTTAATATATTGTGTGTATCCTGCAGTAATCAGTGTGTAGCTGCTGCCATGTTGAGGCAGAGGGTGCTGTCTGTAGCTCTGGTTGAGGGTGAGAGGCTGTCAGCAGATAAACAGAGATCTGTGTGGGTACATGAGACCCTAAACAAGAGGCTGGATCATGGGGAGTACCACCAGTTGGTCCAGGAGCTTCTCCTCCATCATGGACGTTTACAGGCAGGTTTTAGGACGACTCAGGGGCAGTTTGACAACCTGCTGTCTATCATCAGGCCGTATAGCTCTGGGTATCCAGCAACCACTACCACCAGTTTCTCCTCCATTGTTTACCAACTGTAAACTTGTTGTCATGACAAACACAGAAGGCCCGCCTCTGAAATCATCCCATTGGACAATGGGGGAAAGGCAGAGATGACGTGGGGCGTTTTTCTGCTCTGAGTTGAAGTTTTTTCAGCTCCAGCAAACATGCTAGGCACCCAGACCGCAGAAACGCGAAGTGCATAGCAACACAAAAGCTTCATTCTCATTAAAATCAATGTCAAGAAGACGCCTCCAGCTGCTAAAACGCGTCCTGTGTGATCAGGGCCTTAAGGAGTAGTGTGTGGGATTTAGTGACATCTAGTGGAGAGGACTGCAGGTTGCAGCCAGCTGAAACTTCTCCCATGTGTTCAGGAGGTTTTTACCAAAAGCATCCACAGAGGTCACTTCCTCTACTGTAGAAACATAATGGACTGATTGGTCAGAATTTCCATGTGGGAAAAATCCAGGAAGTAAAGCAAACGTTGAAGAAGAGTACACTTGCAAGATAAATGTGACACTTTCTAATGTCACAATGGAGGGACAACTACGCAGGTTGATTTTAGCGCTGCTCATCGTGGACTATATTGCTGTCATTGTTCATTTTAGTCAAATCATACAGTTTGAAAACGAGGCGCGGCTCCAACTAGAAAACAATGTTTTGATGCATTGGATGTGCTGAATGTGCATATTAAGGCAGTACAGGAGGAGGTGCACTTTAATAATCCTCCAGGACTGTAACATGCTCATGTTTAACCCAAACAATGTGTCATGTGACTGCAGTTGCTTCACATCCAGGTCGCAACACCTTCTCACCACAAACCAACCGCACCAGAGTTCCTTTGGAGCCGGACCGAGACCTCCTTGCTGTGTTCACACCTGCCCAAACGAACTGCATTTAAGCCCTGTTCGGACGGGATTAGTTTAATGTGGAGACGTGGGGTAAAGTAAGTATTACCAGGGATTTTAGTTTCATCCGAACGAGGCATGTCTGTAATCATTACAGATAATGTGAGTAAAAATTACAGCGACTTTTACCTTCTGTAAAACGCTCCGGAGAAAATACCTCGAGTAATATTAATCCCGTGTGAACATGATCCTCTGTGTTTTTCCGCTGATGGAGGAGCTTGAAGAAACATTTGGTGTTGTCGGCAGTCGTGATAGTGGACATTCTTCTAATGATGGCATAGCCCTACGTGGGAGACCAATTAAGAAGGTGGAGAAGAAAGCACTTTCCAGAGCCACGAGACTTCTGGTTGTGTTAGGTCGGCCTAATATAAATCCATATTGCTAATCGTTGTGTGCACACAATCCTGATCATGGGCAATATTTCATATTGGGCTGATCACTGATTATTATTATCCTTCAGCTGATGCTTACAGGAAGCAACATGCGACATGGGAGGTGACACCAGGGTGCAAGCCGAGGTACCACTCCCATCTCTGGTAGAATTATGGAGTTTTATTGTCCCGTGTGAAGTGGACTTTTATATTTCAGACATCCTGTGGTAAACTGACATTAGTACGGAAGTGTATTGCATTCACTTGACAAATAAAAAAAGTCCTGTTTTTCTGAGTAATTTTTTTCTGTTTTTTGGAGTAATTTGTTTATTTTTCTGTTTTTCATGGTATTTTTTTTCCTGAACGAGGAGACAAGATACTTCAAAATCTCGCGAGAAGCTCCCACCTGGCACCTGCAAGTGACCCCTGCATCCATGGTGACTCCTGCTCATGGATGTATTTTGCATCTGTGCTCCTGCTCCTAGACAATAGAGTGTGCCAGTAAACCCGGAACTCCGTTAGCGCTTTTAGCACTTCCGGTTCTCTTGTCTAAAAGTCAATATGTTTTTTGAATGGGATTTTGGTAAAATGCCTCAAATAAGGTCTGTGGTTAACAAAAGCTTAAGCGAGTTTCAGGTTTTGTTCTACGACATTAAACATGTCAGTTAATACTCTTCTTGTGAATTTTGAAGCTTTTACGTGTCTTAAAAAAGGTGGTTGCTAACAAGTTGCTCAATTCTACTACAAACCCTGTCGGGGACATTAAACGTCATCACCCCCGAACAGGCGAGAGTGCTGGCAGTCCGTCATTACAGCTTCTTATTTAGCTTAAACAGTCCGATTTCCCCATTATACAATGTTTTTAAAATAAAGCGGCCGAAATCAGTTGAAAGCTTAGTGGCGGTGACGTCAAGAGTCATGCAACCGTGGAGTAGTCATGTAGTCCGTTAAAGCCTAACGTTAGCTTTTTACTTCTGGCGATCACATTTAAGCTTCAAATGCGGTATGAAAGGTGTTCATATGTGAAGATTATCTCGTTGAACAAAACCTGTAGGTATCATAAACTTGTGTTAGCCACAGAGCTTATTTTCTGACATAATCCAAAACGCAGTGCAAAAATCACATTCACTTTCTCTTCTGGGAACCAACGCGATGATAAACTTCCGGGTTTTGACGTCAGCCCTGGCACATTCTATTTCAACTACGGGATCAATAAGGCTAAGGCACGTAATTAGTTACACACAGGGTATGATAATCTAGCTATGTTTTCGACTGCAACCTTCTAGTGTAGGCCTATCGCTCAGTGTAACAGGTTAGTAACAGGTTGTTAAATTCAAGCCCATACATGTTTGTCAGCTAACGTTGTTACAACCTGTTATTAACCTAACCTGTTACATTGAGCGATAGGCCTACACTAGAAGGATGCAGTCGAAAACATAGCTAGATTATCATACCCTGTGTGTAACTAATTACGTGCCTTACCCTTATTGATCCCGTAGTTGAAATTGTCTAGGAGCAGGAGCACGGATGCAAAATACATCCATGAGCAGGAGTCACCATGGATGCAGGGGTCACTTGCAGGTGCCAGGTGGGAGCTTCTCGCGAGATTTTGAAGTATCTCATCTCCTCGTTCAGGAAAAAAATCACCCCGAAAAACAGAAAAAATTACCCCGAAAAACAGAAAAAAATTACCACAAGAAACAGAAAAAATTACTCAGAAAAACAGAAAAAAATACCCCGAAACACAGAAAAAAAATTACCCTGAAACACAGAAAAAATTACTCAGAAAAACAGAAAAACAAATACCCTGAAAAACAGAAAAAATTACTCCTAAAAACAGAAAAAAATACCCCGAAAAACAGAAAAAAATTACTCAGAAAAACAGGAAAAAATTACCCCGAAACACAGAAAAAAAATTACCCCGAAAAACAGAAATAATTACTTTGAAAAACAGAAAAAATACCCCGAAAAACAGAAAACATTACTCAGAAAAACAGAAAAAAATTACCCTGAAAAACAGAAAAAAATTAACCCGAAACACAGAAAAAAATTACTCCGAAAAACAGAAAAAAATTACCCTGAAAAACAGAAAAAATTACTCCGAAAAAACAGAAAAAATTTACCTTGAAAAACAGAAAAAAAATACCCCAAAAAACAGAAATAATTACTCAGAAAAACACAAAAAAATTACCCTGAAAAACAGAAAAAATTACTCAGAAAAACAGAAAAAAATTACTCAGAAAAACAGAAAAAAACTACCCTGAAAAACAGAAAAAATTACTCAGAAAAAAAAAATTACCCCAAAAACCAGAAAAAATTACTCAGAAAAGCAGAAAAAAATTACCCTGGAAAACAGAAAAAAAATACTCAGAAAAACAGAAATAATTACTCTGAAAGACAGAAAAAAATACCCCGAAAAACAGAAAAAAATTACCCCAAAAAACAGAAAAAAATGACCCTGAAAAACAGAAAAAATTACTCTGAAAAAACAGAAAAAATTTACCCTGAAAAACAGAAAAAAATACCCCAAAAAACAGAAATAATTACTCAGAAAAACACAAAAAAATACCCTGAAAAACAGAAAAAATTACTCTGAAAAACAGAAAAAAAATTACTCAGAAAAACAGAAAAAAACTACCCTGAAAAACAGAAAAAATTACTTAGAAAAAAAAAATTACCCCGAAAACCAGAAAAAAATTACTCAGAAAAGCAGAAAAAAATTACCCTGGAAAACAGAAAAAAATACTCAGAAAAACAGAAATAATTACTCTGAAAGACAGAAAAAATTACCCCGAAACACAGAAAAAATTACCCTGAAAAACAGAAATAATTACTCTGAAAGACAGAAAAAAATACCCCGAAAAACAGAAAAAAATTACCCCAAAAAATAGAAAAAAATTACCCTGGAAAACAGAAAAAAATTACCCCGAAAAACAGAAAAAAAATACCCCGAAAAACAGAAAAAAATACTCCGAAAAACAAAAAAATTACCCTGAAAAACAGAAAAAAAAATACCCCTAAACACAGAAAAGAATTTCCCTGAAAAACAGAAAAAATTACTCCGAAAAACAGAAAAAAATTACCTTGAAAAACAGAAAAAAATACCCCTAAACACAGAAAAAATTACCCTGAAAAACAGAAATAATTACTCCAAAAAACAGAAAAAAATTACCCTGAAAAACAGAAAAAAATACCCCTAAACACAGAAAAAAATTACCCCGAAAAACAGAAATAATTACTCCGAAAAACAGAAAGAAATTACCCTGAAAAACAGAAAAAAATACCCCTAAACACAGAAAAAAATTACCCTGAAAAACAGAAAAAAAATTACCCCGAAAAACAGAAAAAAAATTACCCCGAAAAACAGAAAAAAATACTCAGAAAAACAGAAAAAAATACCCTTAAACACAGAAAAAAATTACCCTGAAAAACAGAAAAAAATTACCCCGAAAAACAGAAAAAAATTACTCAGAAAACAGAAAAAAAAATACCACGAAAAACAGAAAAAATTACTCAGAAAAACAGAAAAAAAAAATACCATGAAAAACAGAAAAATAAATAAATTACTCAGAAAAATAGGGCTTTTTTTATTTGTCAAGTGAATGCAATACGCTTCTGTACATTAGTCCACATCCCTATGTAAAACTAATCCCGTCTGAATAGTACTCAAGGGAGCAAACAAACTTTGGCTGAACCGAACCGAACCGAACAGGGCAGGCGTGAGAGCAGCCTGAAACTGTGGCTCTGCAGGTCGATGCCTCTCCTCTACTCTGATAAGGTGAGAACAGTCCCTAATATAATTGAATTTAATTAAATAATTTCTTGTGCTGTAACTACACGGCAGCTAGGCCGTATGGGATTTAATATAACAAGTTATATTAGTATTAATTTTTATGTGTGAATAAGGTTTATTTGAGAGTAAAAAGTGTTTTTGATGATAAGACTGAGTGAGTTGTGGATGTACAGAGAGGAGGAAGAGGTTGATTACAGTGTATTTAAGGAGGAGGAGGAGGAGTGTGAGGGAGTTAGTGACCTGCGGGATTAGATTAGAAAGAAGGAGGAGTAGGGAGGAGGAGGAAGAGGAGGAGCTGCAGATGGAGGAAGAGGAGGCGTCCTGTCCGTCTGTGTCCAGAGGAGAGGAGCGGCCGCCATGTTAACCAAGAAGCCCGGAACCTCGGTCCTCCCGACGGGTGAGCACAGCCTCTGTATCCGGCCTGTGGGCGCCTGAGCCCGGCCACTGTGGCGGGGACACTCCGCTGATCCTCCGCTTCTCAGTAGCTCCGTTTGATTTAGCGTGAATTTGAGCGCAGTCAGTCGGAAGCGGATAAAAACAGCTGAGGGAAGGGCTGAGAGCTGTGCTAGCTAACTGAGCAGAAACAGCCTTTATGTGTCTGCTCCTTAAATAACGTGTGTTTATATGAGTTAAAATGGCAGACAGAGATGAAGCCGTTAATGTCAGGCGATATAAAGCAGATATAATGTCAGCAGGTCCAGACGTCTTCCTGCCCTGTCCGTCTGTCAGGTTTATTTTTAGCTAGCTAGCTAACAGATGAGAAGTGACAGCAGCAGCACAAACAGCTTCCCTCTGTTTACTGCATCTGTATCTAACGACTTTATCACAGTGTAACAGCCGTGTGTGCTGCCTGCAATATGCCTCTGTGTTTTTAGGCTCTGTGTTTAATGCTAGCTGTCATATTTGGTAGTGTTTCCTGCTGTTTGGTGTGTGTGTGTGTGTGTGTGTTATCGGTTGCTGGGTAATTCTTGGCCTCCAGCTCGGCAGACAGAAATAAAGCTTCGGTTCAGTTCAGTCAGAGGTCAGCTGGTTTCTCTTTTAGTCATTTAAAAGTCAGCAAAAATGTAATTTTACAGCTGTCAGCTCCTTAAAACATCTTATTTTATTGCAGCAGTTTGACAAACACACGTGAATGTTGTAATAGAGGTGTTGTAATGTGTTAATATTCAGCCTGAAACTGTGTCACAGCTTTAAACACTGCTGCTGTCTCCACTTAACCCATCACATTATATTAGATTGTCCAAATATATCGGTATGTTCAATATTATTGGCTAGCTTGGTATCACCATATCAGGCACTGAGTAACAATCAGTTGCAGTACAAAGATATTTCTGTGGTAATATGATAATATACTTTCTACTGTAAAATGTCCCGTTCAGTACCCACTAGGCTTGCAGGGGTGGAAGGGTTTCAAGGTATACAGTGGTATTACAGTGTACTTTACATTTACACTACTGAAAAGAAAGTACAAACACAACTGGACGGTGAATCTTACCTTTGTTTGAGCTATTTTCAAAAGGGGAGACCTTTCACACATACTTCCATTTCAAAAAATGGTTTACAGTTTCAGTTGTAGTAATAAAACTCTTGTGCGACTATAAAAATACTTTGTTTGCATGCCTTTAAGGGCACAAGTATACTGGCTGCGTGGTCAAACGTAGCGTACATAGTGTGCTGCGCCTGTGTGTATATTTGCTGCAGCACGGTCGTTCGTCGACACAGTCAAAGGCGAAAGAAGGTGGTGACACTGTATTTCTGGATGTAGTAGGAGGTAGGGGTGAGTTCGTGTACAAAAATCTCTAAACCTTTAGAGTGGGTAATTTTTTTCGTGTAAACGTGTACACGGGTTTCACCGCTGGGTGGTGCTATTGCATTATACCAGTAAAGCCCCAGTTATCCAAATACCAACCGAACGGGCCATTTAACCAACAGTTACAGGCCGCCACTCCGAAATATCACCATTCCGACGGTCCGCCATCCCAAATTCTGGTCCCTGAGTCCTGACAGTAAGCTATGGCGAGCCTGTAGAAGCTGTATTCCCCCATGGATGTAAGCAATTTTCACCAGGGACGCACGCGAGTAATTCAGGCTGACTTTACCTGTTTTTCAGCGAACTCCTCTGGTAATTTTATTAAAAGGCATGGCATATAGGTCCACAGTAACTTATTATTATTATTGGGTCTTTTAAAAGTGGGCTACAATGAGTACCGGACCATCAAATCACAGCATCCGCGGTGAGAGGACACGGAGTTGTGTGTGCTTTTATGCACGCGGGTCTAGGCGATATTGATGTGGGAAAGATGTAGCCAGATGTATTACCTGTTTTAGATACGTGGCTGTCTGTCCGTCCATCTGTAGCATGAGTCATGTGCGCCACTTCACCATCGACCTGTGCGTAAAAGCGCGAACAATTCCGTGTCCTCTCACTGCGGTTGCTGTGATTTGATGGCCCGGTACTCATTGTAGCCCCCTGGTGAACGACCCCCTTAACGACTGCGCCGTTTTAATAGAACAGAGCACGTAGGCTACTGACCTGTTGCCAAACCCGGTCTCGCACAATTTCTTGTCATATTCACAGTCTATCACAGTTAGTCAAGAATTAGTATTAGTTAGTTAGTAGAGTAAAACTCTTATACCGTTGCAACCTTGGTACAAACCAGGGTTCATGTCTGTAATAACCAAATTTAAGGGATGCTTGAAAAAAGGTTTGCTTACCTTTCATGTGTGTACAAATAACGGTCGATATGTTTGCTCAGAATTTTAAATCAGTCCTAAAATCTAGTAGCAGTGGAGATAATAACATGTGTAATAACAGGAAGTAGTATGCACTAAAACATTAAGTATTTTAGATATCAGCATGTCTAATGTTATCGGCTAGTTTTCGGTATGGATGTATATATCAGGTGATAATTGTGATTATTCTGGATCATAGTTTCTCCACCACAATTAACGTTTCTACTGCAAAATTTCCTGTTCAGTACAAACCAGGGTTCATATCTGTAATAACCAAATTTAAGTGATGCTTTTCAAAATTGTTTGTGAAAGTTATATGTTTACAATCATGGGCGATATATTATTACAGAACTTTAACTGCGATAACAGTCTTAAAATCCAGTCTTAGTCGGGCTAACAACATGTCTAATAACAGGAAGTGTAGAAGATATTCCGTGATACCCATATGTAACAATTGATTTGACTGGTAACTACGGCTGCAACGATAAGTTGACTAATCGATGACTGATCAACTGTTAAAATAATCTGTGACTATTTTAGTAGTCGACTAATCGGTTTGAGTCATTTTTCATGTAAAAGTACTATGAAAGTACCCAAAATACTCTTATTGCAGCTTCTCACGTTCAGATATTGGCAGCTTTACACACTCTCCCGTGACGGTGCACTAAAACACTTTGGCGTGAGTACGAAACAAGACATTAGATGACATCGTTTTTGGTTTTGGGAGAGACAGACCGACATTTTTCAACATTTTAACACATTTTCTGATAAAATGATTAGTCGACTAATCGAAGAAATAATCGACAGATTAGTCGACAGTGAAAATAATCGTTAGTTGCAGCCCTGATAACCGTTACCAGTATCGATATATCCACTCTCCCCCACCTGATTTCAGTGATCACTAGCCTTTAAAACCAGGAAAAGACAACACCATATCATAATATCCAAAATCCAAGACGATATCAAGTCTCATATCACGATATCAATATAAAATCGATATATTGCCCAGCCCTAGTCCTAGCAAATTTCTGGAGGAAACCGTAGGGAGCAAGACAGGAAATGTTAAGGCAAAGAAAGAAGGGGATAGCGAGCAAGAAATTTGAATCAGGGACATTACGGTCTTAGGCGTCTGTGAAACTGCCACGCCACCACGTCTTAACTTTTAAGAATAAACCCTGCGAGGTGCATGTAAAAGAATCAGTATTAACCAGTAGTAATAACGTATTTTTATGTCACATCATTAGGTAGCCATGTTACCACAGCTAGGCCGGTGTTCCTCAAGTAGCCACTGGGCTGTTATTAGTAAATATAATGTAAGTGTTCTCCAGTAGCAATGTGACCACCACTAGCCCGCTGCATGCTAATGTCAGTGTTACTGTAGTTTGGAAAGAGATGATCGTAATGTAAAGACGAGACCCTCAGAAAGCCTCGTGGGTACAAGTCCAGTGTTTGCTCGGTTTGTCTGTGTACATAGAGACAAAAACACAGACAGCTCGTTCACAAACATTACATCACAGGTTAGTTTGTCATGTCTGGGTTTTAATTAGTGATGTCATTATCAGTTAATTTAGCTTTCGATAGCCTGGCCTGCATTAACAGCTGACTCTGTCATTGAGAGCATTTATAGGCTACCTGTGTCACTCTGCAGTTACACCTCCAAAACACTAGTGGGCGGTGGAGTTTCTGTGAAGTGTTGTAAAGTTTGATTCAAAACACACATTAAACACACATTAAACATGGCTTAATAGAGACAGTTTCAAACACAAATCAGCTTCACTATAACTCGCAGCATTCACAAACACTTGTCTCATACTAAACACGTTTTCCAAACAAATACAACATGCTAACGTTATTAGCACAAGTCTATGGCATTTACATTGTATACATTAGCCTAGCAGAAATGTTTCTACTAAAAGACAAATCGCACACAGGACTTAAAATGCTATTTTGTGGAGGCTTTATTGTCTTTTAAGTAACGCCGCAGAAGTAAGCCCGAGGGAGCAAACACCCTCATTTTAAGCGGCAAAACCCTTTTAGCATTGATAACTTTTTCAGCACCACTGGCCATGCTGATGCTGCTGATAGAGCTAGCGTTTGCTAAAAGGATTCTGCAGCTCAAAACTGAGCCATACTCAGCAGGCACCCTGGGGAGAGACCGGATGGTTAGTGCAATGTTTCTGCAGCAGCGTCGTCCCCAGGGTCCAAAATTAACATCTGCCAAGTGCTGAACATGAGTAGGTTTTCTGTTTGGAAAGTAATTTCAGAAGTCTATCTGCCACACTGGAGAGTAAATGAAAAGACTGTGCAAAGTTTCTGCAACGTTTTTGTGTCATTTACCGTCGCTTTGCTTCTGACCTCTGTGCCAGTGATGAGTTTCACTGTCACTCAGCAGCAGGACTTCATGGTGCATTCAGGTACACCTTGTAAGCGCTGAAATCTACATTGCTTTGTGTGGCAAAGCATGTGGACCCGACCATGGTGCATTCACGTGCACCACGTAACTCAGGAATCTACACACAAATAGCCGTTTAAAAAGTCGTCTTGTTGAACATTTGTCATGACGTATTAATGCAGCAATTAACTCATGTACATACAGTGTGGCCAGTAAAAATATACGTCTTCAAAATAATCTTAATTATCACTTGCCGCCGGTCTGCTGCTCCC